CTAATTCCAGCTTTTTAAGGAATCTCCGTGCTGCTTTCCACAGTGGTTGTATCATTTTACAGTAGGATAGGGAACTCTTAAATACTCTTTTACCCTTTGTTTATGGTCTAATGTTAATTTGGAGGCTAGGACAGGCTTTATCATGAAAACAATTTGAGTCAAATTCTAGATGTTTTCAAAATGCAGTAACTATTGAAGGCTTCCTGGTGGTACAGTGATAAAGTGCGAGCTTGCTAACAAAAAGGTTTATTGGTTTACACCCACCAGCCATTCCATGAAATAAGGCTATGGCAGTGTATTTCTATCTTGTGTTGAACTGTGTCCCTGTAAAATGTGTCATTTTGGCTTGGCCAGGATTCTCTTTGGTTTGATAATTTTGTAATGATATAATTTGATAGTTCTATGTTATTTGGCAGTTATATAATATTTCTGTCGTAACAGCACTAGTTAATTAAGAAAGAATTTGCTGCCTTGAATAGGGTGCTACTCTAACTGATACCTAAAACATGGAAACAGTTTTGGAATTGGGTAATAGGTAGAGGCTGGAGGAGTTTTAAGGTGCTCAATAATAGTGTAAGTATAGACTACCTTGAATAGGAATTATGGATATCAGGGTCAATTCTGGTGAAGGATGGTGATGAGATGAGGAGACCTGAAACACCAGAGATAGTACAGATGGTAAGAAGAAGAGCTAGAGACATGATGTCAGCGAAACCATGAGACCAGGGTGAGATGGCACAAAAGTCAACATGCAGAGCAAAAGAGCTCAGTGCCTTTGGACAGGAAGCTTATTGGTAGAGTGGGTTGTCTCTAGGTACTTACTGAGCTTTGTCCAATCAGGGCAGAGGCGAGGCCACCCAAGAGCCCAAGGGGATAAAGCATTGAAAGGCCAAGTATCTTGGTTCTCAAGTGCTCCTATAACAGAAATATAACAAGAGGATGGCTTTAAAAAACAGGAAGTTATTCTCTTACAATTTAGGAGGCTAGAAGTATGAACTCTCAGTGCTAGCTCCAGAGGCTGGGTGAAGGTCCCTCAGTCATGGGCTTCAAGTCTGGCTCTTGTTCCAGGGCCACTGGAACTAGAGGCTTCTTCTGACTCATGCAGCTACTGGCTGCTGAGGCTGATGAATCTAAGGTTAGCAGGTAAATTGACACAATTCTAATTCCAAGACTGGCAGGCAACATGTCAGGCCACCGGTTCAAGTCCAGGAACTGGAGATGAAGACTTAGCCAAATGTAGGATAAAATGTGTCAAAAGAAAAAAAAAACAACAAAAAAACAGAAACCAAAAACTAGAGATCTTTCCTAAAGTTTCTCCGTATATACTGGAAGCATGTCACACCCTGAAAGCAACTCCCTTTCCAATGATTAACATTTCACAGCAGATTCCCATTGAAGCTAATTACACCACATACAATTGCATCATGGGGAATAACTATATCTAGCTGCCATGTCACTCAAAATCATGGCCCAGCCATAATGACACACAACCTTAACTACTACATCAACAAACTACGATGCAGAAGTGGAATAGACAAGGAATTCTGGAAGAAGAGCTGCTTAGTCTCAAAGGGAAGGACCATGAACTCTGAGGTCTCAAAGGGTGAGCCATGTCCTCTGGGGTTTCAAATGGTGGAGCCACAGCCTACTAGATTTCAAACAGTCAGATCTTCACCAAATTGCTTCTGGAGTGCCAGGCTGCTGTTCATTATTTTCAAGGGGTTGGGGCTAGATCCAAGCCCAAAACTGGATTGAGGGGGTATGGCTCCTGTCCCCAAGGGACAGAAAATTAGTGCCTACTGGGGCTAAAGGAGTGGAGATACCACTCAGTTGGAATAGGAGAATGGGGCTACCCAAAGCTGAGGAAGCAGTGTCACCCTCCCAGTGGGCATGGAAGGCAGAGCTGAAGCTCAGGGCTGAGGGAACAACACCCAGAATCTTGAGGGCAGGGTAAATGCCTAGACAGTCTCAGAGAACAGAGAATTATTTTCTGGCCTTGAGGGCTAATGTGAATTTCTCTGTTGGGTTTTGTATTTGCTTGGTGCCTGTTATCTCTTCTTTCCTTCTAATCATTCTATTTGTGATGGAAATATCTACCATGTGCATATCCCAGCATTGTACTTTGGAAGCAGATAACTTGTATTATAAATTCACAGATGAAGATGTTCTTTTCCCCAAGATGGAATTTGGGTTTAGAGTTGATTTAAAATTTTTTGGATGGTATGATAGGGTGAAAGTGTTTTGCATGTAGCAAGGACATAAAATTTGGTAGGACAACTGGTAAAATGTCACGGATTGTATTGTGTCCCCAGAAAATGTGTCAACTTGGCTTGGCCATGATTCTCAGTGATTTAGCAGTTATGTAATGATATCATTTGACAGTTTTGCAATTATGTATTTGTTCTGGTTACCTATTACTGCTCTGACAAGAATACACCACAAATGGGATGCCTGGACAAACAGGAGTTTATTCTTTTACAGTTTGATGACGTTAAGTCCATGTTCAAAGTGCCAGGCTCTAGGGACCAGGTGAAAGGCCCTACCTTGGCCTTCATCTCTGCCTCCTGCTCCCAGCCCACTGGAGCTAGAGGATTTCTTCACTCAGACAGCTGCTGGCTGCTGAGATAGACAAGCCCAAGATTGACAAGTAAAAAGGCACAGTCCTTACATTACCAAACCACATGGTAGGCTGTTATTTCAAGTCTGTTGAAAGTTCCCAGGTCAGCAGAGCATGGCAAGCTGCTGAGCAACAACATGGCCACATGCAGGTTTCAAGTGTGCTATAAGCTAGAGACCATTCCCAAAGCTGTTGCTTATATATGGGAAGCAGACCACATCCCTAAGGCAGCTACTCAGCTGCTTGTGGTAGACCCCACCATGGAGCTTATTGCCAGTCTCATCACGGTGAATAACTACCACCAGCTGCCCAGACACTCAATCAGGCCCGACCAAGTCAACATGCAACTTTAACTACCACAATAATTGTCCTCCAAAGTTGTGATGTGATGTGACCTGCCAGTCAGAGGTGAGGGGATTAGGATGGGATGCAACACTTTTACTCACATCCCAGACCTGATCTGATGTAAGGGGATTAGGGTAAAATGTAATTCTTTTACTCTGGTCATAACCCTTTTCTGATGTAAGACACCCCTAAGTACCTGTGCTGAATGATGCCAAGACTCTGGATCTCCAAGGGATGCTGGTCCCACAGATACTGAAAGGAGACAAGAACATTCCCCTACACCTGACAGAGGGAAAAATCCTTCCCCTAAAGCTGATGCCTTGAAATTGAATACATAGCCTCATAAACTGTGAGTGAGTAAATGTGTTTGTTAACAAACTTCCTTTTGGTATTTCTGTTATAGCATCAGTAGATAACTAAGGTAGCTTTTATAAAGAGGGCACCTGAATACATACAGGCTCAGGCCAGTAATGGTGGTCCACCTCTCACTACATCTTAGTCAATTGTTACATTCTAATTGCAAAAAAAAGACTGGGCTGAGACCAAACATGAACTGCTCTTCCAAAAATGCAATACATTGTAAAAGTTAAAGCCATGTCAAGATGAGCAACTTTAAAGGAATGAATAATATTATGAAATAAATTTGCAGAGTTTACAGAAGTATTTGAAATAATTTATTTTTATTATTAGTCACATACACATGAAAGAAAAAGTAATTACATTTTCCCATCATGTAGTTATTTTATAATAGGAATATATTTTCAAATATAAAAAAATTAAAATGTAAAGAATTTAAAAATTTTTGAGAGACCTATGAATTTTGAATATCTTCAGTAATATACCAGATATTAACACTTTAGGAAGACATTTCACTAAGATTATAAGAGGGTAAACAAACTGCATTTGATAAACTTGTTACTTTAGTATAAAGTTGATTAATATATGAATAAATCTATTCCTTATTATAGAGTTTAATAATGATAAACAGTAATATAATATATTCTTGTAGAAGCAGTTCTTCTAATATACTTTTACCATAGCAGATGATTTATGAATATCTTTATAGAATACAGAGAGTGGAAAATAATATTATGATGTTAGTTTAGATTAAATATTTATTTTCCCAGAGTAAATTATACTTTGATTATAATTATACCATTGATTATAAATAAAGAATAAATATTATGAATTTTAGTTATTGCTATTTGTAATGAATTGATATTTACCTGTTGTACTATTAATTAAAATCTTTATACAACTAGTAACATAAATTCCTATATTTTTGTAATTATTTCTACTAAAATTACCTATTCACTAAAAGGATCTTTCATCTTTAATATATGGCTGATATTTTCTGGATCTGAGAAAAAAAATGACTCAATTGAGTCACTTTTTGGTTTAATGTGCAGAACTGTTATTTGTATATAAAAGGCTCAGAAGAATTTTTTTGACTAAAGGTAGAAATGTAGGGTGTGGTCATTTAGATGTGCTCTATGGGACTACTTTAACCTTTCCAAATGTGATGCTATATCATAGTTCATTACAAAAACATTGGGCAAACAGAAGACCTAATGTTACCGAAAAAAGGAAATCACTGCTTTTCTTATAACAAATAAATTTCCTAGGGTCTTTCCTAATTTTAGTGGTATATGGAGATTTATGAATTTTACTCATCCAAGGTCCCTACATCTATCAAGTTCAGCTCACATTCTGTGCATTCACCAGGAGTTAGCATATTGTTTGTTACTCATATCATTTAAAATTAGAAAAAAAAATATTGGTGTTATGAGTAAAACACATACAAATTACTGGTTTCACTATGTCAGGAAAGTGAGAAGAGGGTAAGATCTGGGGAAAAGACAAAGAAAGAATGGGACAATGGTAAGTTAATGCTCTTACTGAATTTTAAGCCATATAACTAGCCTAAGGTACTGAAGTGAGTAGAGGATGGAGGTTATGTTTTTCTTTTTAATTAAGTTTCTTGTGGTTAAAATGAACAGAAATTGACATGCACAAAAATTTGCCAAATTGGACATATCTATTCTCTCTTTTTCTTTTTTCCTGTTTTCCCAAATTTTTGACAAGAAAACAAACAACATTTTGCAACCAAGAATATAGCGATTGCCACACAGGCCAGTAGGAAACCAATGACGTCCAAGGAGTGGTATTGGAACCAGGTGAGGTCATGGGCAGCTGGCCGAAGGTGCTTGGCTCCTTTGTGGCGCATGACAAACTCGATCCAGAAGACAGCTCGATCCAGGGGCTTTACAGGCTGATCATGGTGAATTCTTGATAACCTCATTGCACTCTCTTTATAACTGGAGGGCAAATATATAGACAGAAAGGAGAGATGTTTTGTTTTTATTTTCATTAAAGATAAGAATATGACACATGTTATATAAGTTATCCAAGTCAAAGGCTGTAACATATAAAGGAAATGATTAATTATTGCTGTGATAAATATTGATAGTTGCATAGGATTTTATCAGGTGCAAAGGGGAGAGTGTGCTCAAAGGCTGACATTGAAAAAAGTGAAATATACCAATATACCAGCTATGAATGTTTAGCCTACTCTTCCAAGAATGGCTTCTTATAGTGTATGAAGTACAGTTTCTAGGATTATTCAAGGACTAAAATGGTAACCAGGGGAGCTCTGGTAGTGTAGTGCCTAAGGCACTTGACTGCTAACCAGAAGGCTGGTGGTTCAAACCCACCAGCCACTCCTTGGAAGGAGGGTTGGGAAATCTACTTTCCTAGTGATACCACCTCAGAAACCCAAGTAGGGGTCACTATGAGTCGGGTCCTACTCGATGACACATAACAACAACAACAACAAGATGGTAACCTAGGAAAGATCTATTACAAGTATATACATACATACGTATGTAATCCATGAAATACCTAATAATGTGGATGAACTTGGAGGACATTAGCTGGGTGAAATAAGTCAATCACAGAAGGACAAATATTGTATTAGTCCACTATTGTAAAAAGTCAAGGAAAGGTTTACATCTGGAAGGAAAGTTTCTTTGTTGGTTACCAAGGATGGGAGGACAAGGGGAGGAAAAACTAAGAAAAAGAAAAGGTACTTACATATAGCCTCTGATATCTGGCTAGTTGATGGTATCTGACCCAGAAAATTGGTAGTTAACTTTGTTGTTAGTTGGCATTGAGCTTGCTCTGACTCATGGTGACCCCATGTATAACAGACCAAAACATTGCCTGGTCCTATGCCATCCTCATAGTCATTGGTATATTTGAGCCAATTGTTGAAGCTACCATCCCAATCTATCTCATGAAGGGGTTCCTTTATTTACAGTGACTCTACCCTTTACCAAATATTATGTTTTTTTTCTTAGTACAAAGTAAGCAAGATGAAGTCTCACCGTTCTTACCCCTAAGAAACATTCTGGCAGCACTTCCTAAAAACTAGATTTGTTTGTTCATCTGGCAGTCCACAGAATTTTCAGTATTCTTCACCAACACCACAATCCAATTGTATCTATGTTTCTTCAATTTTCCATTTTCATCGTCCAGCTTTCCCATACACATGAAGCATTTAAAAAAATAAAAATCATGGTTTGGGTCAGAAGCACCTTATTCATTAAAGTGAATTTATTCAGTCATTCACTTATTCTTTAAAAAATTAAAGAGGTCTTTTGCAGCACTTTTCTTCAGCACAATATATTGTTTGGTTTCTTGACTGTTGCTTACTTGCACTTTGATTACTGATCCAAGTAAAATGAAATCACTGATAATTTCAATTTCTTCACCATTTATCAAAATGCTGTTTATTGAGTCCAGTGGTGAGGATTTTTGTATTCTTTATGTTAAGGTGTAAGTCCTATTGAGGACTATAGTCTTTGACCTTCGCCAGTAAGTGCTTCAAGTCATTTTCACTTTCAGCGAGCAAGATTATATTATCTGCATATCACAGGTTATTAATGAGTCTCTAAACCCGATGCCCATGTTCTTCTTCATATAGTCAAGCTTCTAGTTTGTTTAGCATACATTGAATAAAAAAAGATACAATTCTGCTACACAAATTTTCCAATTTTGAAAAATTTTAGTATCTCCTTGCTATGTTTAAACAACTGCCTCTTGATCCATGTTCAGTTTCTGCATGAGCACAATTAAGTGTTCTGAATTACCATACTTCGTAACGTTATCCATAATTTGTTATGATCCATATAGTCAAATGCATTTGTGTAGTCAGTAAAACACAGGTAAACATCTTTCTGCTATTCTCGGCTTTTAGCCAAGGTCCATCTGACATCAGTAATGATATGTCTTGTTCTACATCCTCTTCTGAATTCAGCTTGAATTTCTGGTAGTTCTCTTGGTGTACAGCTGAGGTAATTCTTTAATTATCTTCAGCAAAATATTACTAGCCATAATATTAATGATATTGTTTGATAATTTCAGTGTTCTGTTGGATTGCCTTTTGTGGTAGTTAAGTTTGTGTGTCAGCTTGTCTGCGCTGTGATTTTGAGTGGTTGGGCAGCTGGGTGTAGTTATTCACCATGATGAGACTGGTAATCAACTCCATGGTGGAATCTGCTGTGAGAAGCTGAGTAGCTACCTGAGGGAGGTAGTCTGCTTTCAGTACATAAGAAGCAGCTTTGAGAAAGGTCTTTAGCTTTTTGGCATATTTGGATCCTACATTTAGCTGAGTCTTCATTCAGCAGCCTGCCAATTTAGGGACTGTTTCTAGACTTGAACTAGTGGCCTGCTGTGTTGCTTGATAATCTTGGGACTGTGTCATTTTACTTGTTGATCTTGGGTTTGTCAGCCTCAGCAGCCATCAGCTGCCTAAGTTAAGAGACACCTCTAGCTCTAAGAAGCCAGGAGATAGAGGCAGAGCTGAAGTCCAAGGTCTAAAGGCCTTCACCCAGCCCCTAAAATGCGAACCTTGAACTTGGACTTCTAACCTTCTAATCTGTAAGAGAGTAAATTCCTGTTTTTTAAAGCCATACATTTGTTGTATGTCTGTTATAGCAGCACTAGAGAACCAAAACACCTTTCTTTGGAATAGACACACATATAGATACCTTTCAGTTGGTAAGCCAGGTAGCTATCTTCCAAATTTCTTGGCATCAATGAAAATGATTTTCAGTATTGGACCTGTTTGTCAAAGCATCTCAAATGCTATTACATCAATATCTGGAGCCTTGTTTATTGCCAATGCATTCTGTGTAGCTTGAACTTCTTTCTTTACTACCAGTTGTTCTTTATCATATGCTATCTCCTAAAATGTTTCAATATTGACAAATTCTTTTTGTTATAGTGACTGTCTATTTCTTCCATCTTCTTTTGATGCTTCTTTCATCATTCAATTATTTGGCCATAAAATCCTTCAATATTGCAAATGAGGCCTGACTTTTCTCATCAATTCCTTCATTTTCAGAAACACATATGGTGTTTCCTTTTGGTTCTCTAACTCCAGGTCTTTGCACGTTCTATAACAATACTTTATCATGTCTTCTCAAATCACCCTTTGAAATCTTCTGTTTAGTTCATTTACTTCATCTTTTCTTGTTTGTGTTAACTGTTCTGTGCTTATGTGCAGCTTTTAAAGTCTTTTATGATATCATTGGATCTCTTCTTCCATTCTTGTCTTTTTAATGACCTCTAACTTTCTTTGATGTTATTCCAGAACTCTTCTGGTCTTTGGTTGTTAGTTTTCAATTCTTTGAGTCTATTCTTGGGATTTCTCTAAATTCACACTGTTGGGCTATATGTAGTCACTGCTTTGATTTTCTTCAGCTTCACTTCAACTTGCACTTGAGTAATAGATGGTTGTTTTGGAATCAGCCCCTGGATTGTCTGGACTGATAATATTGAGTTTCTATAGTCTCTTTCCACAGATGTAATCAATTTTATTCCTGTTTATGTGTATAGGTGTTGTTGAAAGAAATTTTCTCATGCATAAGTCATTGGTCTTGCAGAATTGTATCATTAGATCTCTGTCATTATTCCTATCACCAAAGCTACATCTTCTGACTACTGTTCCCTCTTTTTTTCCATATTTCATATTCCATTCACCAGTAATTATCAATGCATTTTGATTGTACATTTGATCAATTTCAGACTGCAGCAGTTCTAAAAATCTTCTATTTTTTTAATATTTGGCATTTGTGGTTGGTGTGTTAACGTAAGTAATAGTCATATTAACTAGTCTTCTTTGTAAGCATATGGATAGTAAACTATCATTGACAGCACTGTACTTTAGGATAGATTGTGAAATGTTCTTTTTGATGGTGCATGCAATGTGGTTCTTCTGCAATTTGTCATTCTCAGCATGGTAGATTAAATCATGCTGAGAATGACAAATCATGATCTGATTCAAAATGGCTTCAGTCCATCCATTTCAGCCCACTATTATCTAGGATAATGGCCTGTAAGTATTCCTTTTCATGTTTTATGGCTTCTAATTTTTCTTGATTCATATTTATCTATTCCATCTTCTGATTACTAATGGATGAGTAATTTCCCCAGTCTCTAAGACTGTGGAACTGTGGTAATTCTTTTTCACACAATTGCTAATTTCTGATGCAAAGGACAGTGTTTCTATATCCAATGTCAAGATAAATGAAGATACACATCTATCTTAAGAGGTAGCATATCCAAATATATTGGCTTTGAGTTTTTAAGGTAAATAGGAACATCCTGGCACAATCAGCGCTTCTTATCCCAATGCAACATTACAGTAACAACAGTGGTACACTTAACACCTCTAATAATCTCTCACAAAAGACTGGGTTGAAGCCTGTGTATTTCAAAGGAAAGTCATGTCCTCATATGAATTTTTTCAGTGGGTGGCCCAGGATTTACAGTTTTCACTTTGGTTTAGGTTGGGTGTAAATATTCCAGCCTAGAAACACAACGAGAGAAGAGTAGTGACTGGAAAGAAATGTCCCAGTATGAACATTTTGAGATTACAATTCTTGCCCAGTCTTGAGAATGAGGAAGACGAAATGTTGTGTTCATTCACAAGTGAACATGGCAAAATGGATTCAGCTCCAAGATACTATTTACTTGTGCTTTTTTTGTGTGTGTAGTGAGGAAAACTCTTATATTATATTACAATTGGATTGTACCACAGAAAAGATAAAAAACATAATTTAATCTGGTTCACCCTAATAGCTTTTAAGCAAAATATAGTGATGATAAAAGCCTATCTCTTCAAATCTGATGTTTTTCAGTGTTTCCTAAATTTAAAGATGTCTTCTTGTTATGTGCTCTTGAGTTGGTTCCAATTCATAGAAATCCTATGTACTTTATGCGGTTTATCCTTCTGGCAGCCCATGGTATTGTC